CTTACCAAATTATTTAATTGAATAAGTTTAAAAATTCATTTATTTTGACGTATGGAAAAAAAAGTAATTTTAAAATTATTAATTAATTTAAATAACACATAAATAAATAGACAACATACTGGAATACTGAATCGTATAAAAAAAAAGAAAATCTACCGTCAGTCAGAATCGATTCTTAGATAGCAAAACAAAACAAGCAGCAGAATAAGCCTTTACCATCTTAGCTATCAGAAGTTCAGGTGAGACAGATCTTAAAGTTACATATGTTCATTGACAACCGCTGGAGCTTGTTCTACAGTTGATAACAATTATGATGATGAAAAATAATAAATCAAGAGATTATAGCTGGACTGCGATTCTTAACAAAATTGCTGAATATATAAAAAAAAAAAAAAAATGGATTTGAAAATAATTGTCAACGTACGTAAAAAAAAAGATGTTTTCAAATCAAATTCTGTGCATATAATTATGAGCCTTTAGTTCTACGATTTAATTAAATCAGATTGATAAGTAACATTGAAGCAAGAGTGAGAGAACAAGAGTCCGTTAAATATATATATCATATACTTGGTTGCAGTCAAAAGAGAAAAACTCGTGTCGTCGCTTGCTTTGGCTATGCACTCAGCTATATAGCTATAGTCGACATTTCTGCTCCTCTCTTCGTAAGCACACATTCGGTATACCCCTTCGACGTATTTTCAAAATGTGCGCCTATATGCTCGTTTCCACGTAAATCCACTCCTCTTCTCATAGGTGCACGCTGTTTAATACGAGTCTCACACTCTCGAAAAATGGGCGCCTTGGTATCATGGCTCACCACGGCGGATCACCCCGGTTAGTGCCCAAAAGTTGTCTCACCTCGTAACATAGGCGTTAGCAGTCTCTCTACTCATCTCTGTTACAAGGTTCGGTCTTCTGGAAGTCTACTTAGAAGATAAGAGAGGCGACAGACGAAAAGATAGAGAGTTTTTAAAATTTTTTATAAATTAATCTATTTAGTTTTACTTTTATATGCTTCGTCGTAGGGTATGAGAGATTTTTGGCTCAGGTTTGTGAAATATCATTACTTATGTCATTTTGTGGTGAGGCTGATTATCATGTGATAATATTGTTTGGTTTTATCACAAATGACTCTGCGGCTTTGCCATTTTATTTCTGACAACACAATGTATAAGCTTACAGTTTTCTGTTACAGACAGGGTGCTAGAAGAACAAGTGGGCCGAAGAATCTCAATTTTCTATAAAAATGTTGTGCCACTTTGTGTAATTCCCACGAAGCATTAAATGTATCTTGAGAATTATTTATTGACATGCTTATTATGTAATAAAAAAAAGTTATAACTATTATTTAAAATGTTTGTAACTTATCTAGTATATTTATATTTGATTCTTAAAAATAATAAGCCACCAAAATCAATGTGACATGCTGCGTTTGCCACTATGGTAAAAAGATTGAGTCCAGGCGCTAACCTTAGGGCGCATTACAGTGGAGCTCAGTAGACATTCGATTAATTGGTGGTAACACTAAAACCGTAGGCCCTACCATGTTTTGCTAAAATGCACTCTAAAAAAAGCAATTGGGCTCAAACTTTTAAACATCGCAGCCAACGGTAGTTATCTTCACCTAGTTGACTTAAAGACGTGTCACCTCACATCAGATACTTATAGCTTTACTACAGATACTGCTAAAAGCTTAGACATATTCATATCTCGTATGAATAATATACTTACTTTTGCAAGGGCAGAAACCTATGCACTTCAGGCGTACTGTGACATGGTGGATACAATTATGATATTCCAGACGGCAGTAAGAGCTGTAAGTACGATTGTCACTGCCGCAGAGAAAAGCTGGCTTTTGCACGTCACACCCTTGGCATCTGCAAGCATAATTTTCAGTACTTATAAGCTAGTTTTACTTTTACTGGTTTCCATATTAAAGTTTCCTTGCTATAAAGTATATATAGTTATAGTTTTTTAGTAATTTTTCAAAAATCCATACATGTTTACTTCTCAAAATCTGTGAGTTTCAATTACGTAGTTAGTTGTACTAAGAGGACAACTGAACTGCGTACACGGCTTTGTCAACTAAAATGTAAGTTAAGTGTGGGGTGCTAAGTAAAGGTGATTCATGTTTTTCCTTTTTTTTTTTTATTTATTTATTTATTTCCCTTCCCCTTCACCTTCCCCCGAGGTCCAATATCGATCCGTCGGAAGTAGAGCTGGGTCGGCTATCTCGTTTTCTCTCGGGCGCGCGTTATATCCCGGTGAAATTTTTTTCCCTTCAAAGTATAAACCTTGCGCGGATTTTTCCCGAGCATTTTTTTCAACCCTTACGCGCATATATACGTGTGCAATGGCACATACACCTGTACAGGGTGGAAAGGTATCGACTATTGTTGGGTCGGCCGCTATGGAAACATTTTCCACCCGTAGGCTTCTTTTTTTCTTCTTTTTCTAATCATTCCTCACCTGCGGTGCGGTATGTGGGTGCAGAAACTGTACACATGGCTTTGCAGCACCGGGAGAAAAATGAGACTCGGCGCGGGCAAAAGTTAGGTCTGGAAGAGAATAATTGCCGAGAGGAAGAAAAAAAAAAAATCAAGCCTTGCCAGGCACTTTTTAAAAATATAAGCAGTTACAGTCGTACAGTTTCAAGTTTGTAGAGTGCAAGAGGAGGTGCGC